TTTTTTTTGAGACAGAGTTTCGCTCTTGTTACCCAGGCTGGAGTGCAATGGCGCGATCTCGACTCACCGCAACCTCCGCCTCCTGGGTTCAGGCAATTCTCCTGCCTCAGCCTCCTGAGTAGCTGGGATTACAGGCACGCGCCACCATGCCCAGCTAATTTTTTGTATTTTTAGCAGAGACGGGGTTTCACCATGTTGACCAGGATGGTCTCGATCTCTTGACCTCGTGATCCACCCGCCTCGGCCTCCCAAAGTGCTGGGATTACAGGCTTGAGCCACCGCGCCCGGCCAATACTTCATATTTCTATATTATTATTTGTATGTGTGTATATAAAATGTCAGGTGGTGGGTAATAAGTGCCATGAAGGGAGGCTAGAGAGGGCCTTAGTAAAGACCGGAAGGAAGTGAAAGAACAGGTCATATAAATATCTCCTGGAAGAGATTTAGACACAGGGAACAGGAAGAACCAAGTACTCGAGTTCAGAGCTTGAATGAGCCAAGTGGGAACTGTAGAAGAAGAGATCAAGAAAGGCTTACGAGTGTTTGCATGCTGGGTGCAGGTCAGGGTGGGAGGTGGATGTACCTGTTGATGATTTTGGGTCTTGTGGGCCTTGAATTCTGTTCCGAATGAGGTGTAAATCCATTGAATGATTTAGCAGAGTGACATGATCATGTTTGTAAAGGATCGTGTTTGCTCAAGGGTTCCTAACTTTGAATTCCTTTAGGTAGAATTCAGGGAGTCCATGAACTTGGATGAGAAGAAAAAATACATCTTTCTCTTTAATATCCTCTAACTGAAATGCAGCATTTCTTCCTATTGTAGTGTATGGGACAAACCATAGTAGTCCCGGTGGTAGTAGTAGAAGAGTGGTTCCTGTGACTCTGGCATCAATGAAAATCACAGATACATTCATATTCTTTTACTGTTTTGTAGGCATATTGAAATATTTATGCTCATCATTACTTCAGAATTAATGTAGTACTAGGCTCGCCACTAGGTCTTGTTTAATGTTCTACTAAAGAAGAAAACTCCAGGCAGAGAGAAGAATCCCTGTGAAGGCTCCGCTGGGGAGAAGCTTGGTGTGTTTGAAGGACTAAAAGCCGGTGTTGGTGGGCCCCACGATCAAGTGGGAGTGGAGTGTGAGTGAGGGCTGGGCAGACAGGCAGAAACCACAGCATTCAGCCTTTGCAGGAGATTGTGAGGAGTGTGGACCTTGAGCAGTGGAAGCCTAAGCCAATGATATTATTCCCTGAATAGATTAAAGGGTGAGGGAGCTTGGTAGGGAGACTGGTTGAGGAGGCTCCTTCACTGGTCTGGGAAAGAGTTGATTCTGCTTTGGAAGATGACATTGCCTGTGGAAGACAGAAGAGGACAGTTTTGAAAACTTTACTTGGGCGCTTAACTAGATGAAAGTTACTGAAAGATCATATAGAGGTAGGAGGAAAAAGATTGTGTTGGAATGAATTCCCTGTTCCTGTTTTGATCTACTCCAACAAGCTTCATTTTGATATCTTCAAACTATTTAATTTGCCTAATATCCCCATTTTTATAAGAAATTCTTTCATAATAATGCCTATCAAATACTGAATACTTTACTCGAAAACATTTTTTTTTTTTGAGACAGAGTTTTGCCCTTGTTACCCAGGCTGGAGTGCAGTCGTGCGGTCTCGGCTCACTGCAACCTCCACCTCCTGGGTTCAGGCAATTCTCCTGCCTCAGCCTCCTGAGTAGCTGGGATTACAGGCATGCACCACCATGCCCAGCTAATTTTTTTGTATTTTTAGAGATGGGGTTTCACCATGTTGACCAGTATGGTCTCGATCTCTTGACCTAGTGATCCACCTGCCTCGGCCTCCCAAAGTGCTGGGATTACAGGCGTGAGCCACTGTGTCTGGCCGACCTTGAAAACATTTATATGCATTTTCCTGTATCCTCCCCCAGTAATCATGAAGTAAGGATTATTGCCATTTTACAGATGAAGAAATGGTGACTTAGAGGTTAAATAATTGCTTGTGAGCACACCTCGATTAAGCATTAGAATTGGCAGTGAGCTCTTACCAATCTGCTTCTGATTCCTGTTACCTTTCCATGGCAGTATGTTGTATTGTGTCTTAATTTCTATCTTCCTTAAACTTTAGCTGCCTTGTCTCTCTATTGTGGTGGTACATGAGCAAATCTCCACCCCTCTAAGATCAGCATCTCAAAATTCCAAGGCAAACCATATTTCCCTTGAATCCCCAGCACATATTACCTTATGTGTCACAAATTTACATCAACTTAGTTTAATACATTAGACTTACATCTGGCTCTTTCCTCATATGAACAACCTGATGTTACCACTTCCTTTTTTTTTTTTTTTTTTTTTGGGACGGGGTTTCACCCATGTTACCCAGGCTGGAGTGCAATGGCGCGATCTCGGCTCACCGCAACCTCCGCCTCCTGGGTTCAGGCAATTCTCCTGCCTCAGCCTCCTGAGTAGCTGGTATTACAGGCACACGCCACCATGCCCAGCTAATTTTTTGTAGTTTTAGTAGAGATGGGGTTTCACCATGTTGACCAGGATGGTCTCGATCTCTTGACCTCGTGATCCACCTGCCTCGGCCTCCCAAAGTGCTGTGATTACAGGCTTGAGCCACTGCGCCCGGCAGACTGCCCAGCATTTTTATTGAGGTTTTATTATACGGGCAGAATTGATTAAATCCATGGTAACTCAGTCTCTAGCCTCTCTCCCCTTCTCGGAGGTCAGGTAGCAGAAAGTCCCAACCCTCATTTTTTTTCTTTCTTTTTGTGACAGAGTCTCACTCTGTCACCAGGCTGGAGCGCAGTGGCTCAATCTCACTGCAGCCTCTGCTTCCTGGGTTCAAGCAATTTCTCCTGCCTCAGCCTCCCTAGTAACTGAGACTACAGGCATGTGCTACCACGCCCAGCTAATTTTTGTATTTTTAGTAGAAATGGGGTTTCACCATGTTGGCCTGGAGGGTCTTGATCTTTTGACCTCGTGATCCACCTGCGTCGGCCTCCCAAACTGCTGGGATTACAGGCGTGCCCAAAAGTCTCAGCCCTCTCATCAGAAGCTAGTGTTTCTGGTAATCAGATCCCACCCTGAAGCTTTCTTAGGGCCCACCATGAATTACCTTATTAGCATAACAAAGACCCCTGCCAGGAAATTCCAAGTGTTTTTAAAGTTCTGTGTGGGGCTATATTATACCTCAGCCAAAGAATCTTCCCCATATGAATTTATTTCTCTCAGGAGACCTTTAATGGAGGCTAGAAAATGATCCACTTCATGTTGTACATATTGTCTGATATACTTATCTCTTATATACACACATGCATACTTATATAGATACATGTATATCATATATATGTATATAAGTAGACTTACGTGCGCAGATATGGCTAGTCATGTTTTAATATGGAAAATAGCCCAACCATTGTATATTTACCAGCCTTTCCAGGTGATTCTGATCCACATCCGTGTTTGAGTATCATTGTAGTAACTTATTTGTATAGTTACCTTCCTCTGATTCCTGCATTATCTTACCAATTTCTGCTGCTTGCCTGTCCACTTTTTCAGATTACACAGATATCCTGTGAACCCTGTGCCATTTACCTAGTAGATACTTTTCTCACTTTAATTTTTCCATTTCTCTTATAAAAGTTCGACTTTTCACAAATAGGAAGAAAGAACATTGATCATTTTATTTTCTTTCAGATCTGGAATCAATGTGTGAAACCAAGTTATTGTCTCTAAAGAAGGAAGTTTATGAAATAGAATTATGCCAGAGGGAGATAATGGGACTGCCAAAGTATGGCCTTGAGTACTCTAGTTTTGGAGATGTTTTGGAATATAGAAGCCACCTTGCAAAACAACTGGGATATCAAAATGGGCATTTCAGTCCAGAAATATTCACTCCTGAATACATGCCCACATTTATTCAACAGACATTCCTTACTCTCCATCAAATAATTAATGATGAACACAGACCCTATGAATGTAAGAAATGTGGAAAGGCCTTTAGTCAGAACTCACAATTTATTCAACATCAGAGAATTCATATTGGTGAAAAATCTTATGAATGTAAAGAGTGCGGGAAATTCTTTAGTTGTGGTTCACACGTTACTCGGCATCTGAAAATTCATACTGGTGAAAAACCCTTTGAATGTAAGGAATGTGGAAAGGCCTTCAGTTGTAGCTCATACCTTTCTCAACATCAGAGAATCCATACTGGTAAAAAACCCTATGAATGTAAGGAATGTGGGAAGGCCTTTAGTTATTGCTCAAATCTTATTGACCATCAGCGAATTCACACTGGTGAAAAGCCTTATGAATGTAAAGTATGTGGGAAAGCCTTTACTAAGAGCTCACAACTTTTTCAACATGTGCGAATTCATACAGGTGAGAAACCCTATGAATGTAAGGAATGTGGGAAAGCCTTTACCCAGAGCTCAAAGCTTGTTCAACATCAGAGAGTTCACACTGGTGAGAAACCCTATGAGTGCAAGGAATGTGGCAAAGCCTTTAGTAGTGGCTCAGCACTTACTAATCATCAAAGAATTCACACTGGTGAGAAACCCTATGATTGTAAGGAATGTGGGAAGGCTTTTACCCAGAGCTCACAGCTTCGTCAGCATCAGAGAATTCACGCTGGTGAGAAACCCTTTGAATGTCTTGAATGTGGGAAGGCCTTTACTCAGAACTCACAACTTTTCCAACATCAGAGAATTCATACTGATGAAAAACCGTATGAATGTAATGAATGTGGAAAGGCCTTTAATAAATGCTCAAACCTCACTCGACACCAGAGAATTCACACTGGTGAAAAGCCCTATAACTGTAAGGAATGTGGGAAGGCTTTTAGTAGTGGCTCAGATCTCATTCGCCATCAGGGAATTCATGCTAATGAATAATAAAAATTAAAGCTCCTGTCACCTTCCTCATATTTTAAACCAAAATTCACATGTAATAGTTACCCTCTTTCACAATTTTTTATAACTTTGTATTTAAATGTATTTACAAGTTATAAATTCAGAGTCTAAATTGAGATTCCTTCTCCCCGGCCCTCCATCATATACCAATGCCAGTTGTTCTATGGTTCTTTCTTTCATTGTTTGGTTCTGCTTTCTTGGTGGTGCATTATACTCTTGTTTATATTTGCTTGTGTTTTTAGGGCTATCTTTTCTGATTTGTGTATTTGTGTTTGCACCAGTATCGCGCTGTTTGAATTGTGTTACCTTTAATATTTTTAAATTCCTTGTGAGTCATAACTTTGTTTTTGAAGTCAGTGTTAATCTTTTAGTTTTATTTTACAAATTTACGCTTTTAGTTATTAAGCCAAAAATCACAAAAAATTGCAAACTAAAAAGCAAAAAATAATTGTAATCATACTCATAGATGGCTACTCTCAATTTGGTAAAGAGAATCTTGCTGTACTTTGCTTTTTGAGAAAGTATAATTATGGTGTGCGTGCTGTATCTTTAACTGCTTTTATCATGCCAAAAAATTCATGAGTGCCATTTCAATAAACATAGATTTTTATTATTTTCATGACATTTAATGACTTTAGAATGACTCTTCATGTTATGGTTACCTCGAAATTTTTGCAGCTATAAAAGCTGACTTCCTTATTATGACCCAAAATTTATCTTTGGATGCTTGTTTTTACTTTTAAAACATTTATTTTAATTGCTAAAATTATCCAAATTTTCTTCTTGTGAACTGTTTTGTTCCTTTACATCAAACCTAACCCCAGTGCCACACTAGAAACTAATCACTGTTATGAAAGGTGTTTATCATTCCAGATATGAAATATTTTTATTTTAATTTTTAAAGAATGGAGTCTCACTCTGTTGCCCAGGCTGGCATGCTGTGGTGCGATATCGGCTCACCACAACCTCTACCTCCCAGGTTCGAGCAGTTTTCCTGCCTCAGCCTCCCAAGTAGCTGGGACTACAGGCACGCACCACCATGCTTGGCTAATTTTTATATTTTTAGTAGACACAGTGTTTCACTATGTTGGCCAAGCTGGTCTTGAACCCTTGACCTTGTCATCCGCCTGTCTCGGCTTCCCAAAGTGCTGGGATTACAGGTGTGAGCGACTGTACTGTCCTGATTTTTTTTCTTACAGATGTTAATGGTATTTTAAAAAATATGTCTAGGTATATATAATCAGGCTGTATGTCTTGGTTTGCTGTGAGGAGTCAATGAATAATAAATGTATAGTACTTCAAACTTTTATTAGGTTTAGTAAAAGTTTTCCACTATTATCAATGATATGCTCATTATGATAAGTTTCTTAAGATTTATGGAGATGATTTTAACCATGTTGTTTACCTTTGGCAAGTTTATAATTCATAGTGGAAAAAGAGAAACATTTGTAATGAGTATAACAAAGCCTTTCCCCATCATTATTATTCAGCATGGAATTTTAAAAGGAAGAAAAAAAGTATGTGTGAATAGTCTTTGTTCAGATTTCATCTTTTTTTTTTTTTTTTGAGACGGAGTTTCGCTCTTGTTACCCAGGCTGGAGTGCAATGGCGCGAGCTCGGCTCACCGCAACCTCCTCCTCCTGGGTTCAGGCAATTCTCCTGCCTCAGCCTCCTGAGTCGCTGGGATTACAGGCACGCGCCACCATGCCCAGCTAATTTTTTGTATTTTTAGTAGAGACGGGGTTTCACCGTGTTGACCAGGATGGTCTCGATCTCTTGACCTTGTGATCCACCCGCCTCAGCCTCCCAAAGTGCTGGGATTACAGGCTTGAGCCACCGCGCCCAGCCAGATTTCATCTTTTATGCTACATAAAGAATACCAGTCTGAGGCCAGGCACAGTGGCTCACACCTGTAATAGTAGCACTTTGGGAGGCCAAGGTAGGTGGATCACTTGAGGTCAGGGGTTTGAGACCAGCCTGGCCAACATGGTGGTGAAACCCCATCTCTACTAAAAATATAAAAAAAAATTAGCCAGGCGTGGTATTGCATGCATATACTCCTAGCTATTCGGGAGGCTGAGGTGGGAGGACTGCTTGAACTGGGAGGTGGAAGTTACAGTGAGCTGAGACTGTGCCACTGCACACTCCACACTGGGTGACAGAGGGAGACTCTGCCTTAAAAAAAAAAAAAAAATACCAATCTGAAACCCTGTAAATATCATGCACAGTAGAAAGCACAGGTCTGAAAAAACCAGGAAGAGATTATAACAGTTTTTCTAATATTTCCTCCCAAAAAGCAGAAAACATACTGGCCACATTATTTGACCAGAAGAAGCAGTACAATAGGATAGCCATCAAATATATGATTATTAATTCAATATTCCCTCTTCATTAACATGGGTTAAGGAATAAATCCCTAATATATACATTATTTTTCTTTTTTCTTTTTTCTTTTTTTTTTTTTTTTTTTTTTTTGAGAGGGAGTCTTGCTCTGTCTCTCAGGCTGTGCAGTGGTGCAGTCTTGGCTCACTGCAACCTCCACCTCCTGGGTTCAAGCGATTCTCCTGCCTCAGCCTCCCAAGTAGTTAGGATTAAAGGCATGCACCACCACACCCGGCTAGGTATTATTTTAAAAGGCAGAAATAACTGAAAGAAAAAAACTGGATCTAAATAAAATACAAAATTTGATATTTGATGGAAGACAAAAAAAAAGGAGACAAACTTGAGTGATTCCACAGGTGAAATAAGAATGACAAATAATATTGTAAATGAGAAATTGAAATGACTCTGTCTTTCTCATATATATATATATATATATATGTATGTATGTATGTATGTATATGTATATTTTTTGAGACAAAGTCTCACTCTGTCGCCCAGGCTGGAGTGCAGTGGTGTGATCGCTCCTCACTGCAACCTCTGACTCCCGGGGTTCAAGCTGTTATCCTGCCTCAGCCTCCTGAGTAGCTGGTATTACATGCATGCACCACCATGCCCAGCTAATTTTTTTGTATTTTTAGTAGAGATGAGGTTTTTTCATATTGGCCAGGCTAGTCTTGAACTCCTGACCTCAGGTGATCCGCCTGCCTCGGCATCCAAAAGTGCTGGTATGACAGGTGTGAGCCATCACACCTGGCCAAAAAGACTATGTATTAAAACTTAAAAGAAACGTGGAATGGGTAGAAATTGTTTTGTTCATATACTACAGACCACTCAACTGTACACTTAAAAAGGGTGAATATTATGCTGTGTAAATTTTATCTCAATTTAAAAACTTAAGGCTGGGTGCAGTGGCTCATGCCTGTAATCCCAGCACTTTGGGAGGCTGAGGTTGGAGAGTGCCTTGAGGCTGGGAGTTCAAGACCAGCTTAGGTAACATAGTGAGGCTCCCTCCCCTCATCTCCACAAGAAAGAATTTAAAGACAACAAACTTAAAAGTTGATATTATATATTTTTATAACATACCTGAAAATCTGGAAAAATCCGTGATTTTTAATAAGTTGACATCAGAATTAACTGGAGGTGTAAAATCTTAATAGACCTCCCTCCAGAATAAACTTTAAAAAATAAGACCATAAAATTTTTCAAAAAGCATTTTAAATGTCAAATTGCTACACTAAAAAATACACGAAGCTTGGCATTTTTGTAAGTGAAATCTATGAAATGTTTTGGGAACTCTTCCAGGACCCAGACTGAGATAGCAAATTACCTATTTTTATGAATTTGTCACAATCCTGATGTTAAAACCTACTGGAAGAACCCAAAACAATTTGTCCAGGATCACTTATGAAAATATGGGGTTATAAATTAGCAAATCAAATCTAGTAACCCATTGAAAGTAAATATTTGTCACATTCTGAATTTAGGAACAAAACAATTCTGATAAATCTTTTCCAAACTTGTTACTTACTTTCTGAAACTTGAAAATTAAGTTGATTTAGAGAACATAGTATCCCTTAATGTCTGAACTCAGGAACCAAATAGATGTGGATAGCAAGGGATTGTTGGAATACTACAC